GTGCGTGCGTGCGTGTGTGTGTGTGTGCGCGTGTGCGCGTTTGCACCTGTGTGTGTTTGTGTGTTTTTGTGTGTACATTTGTGTGTGCTTGTGTGCGTGTCTGTATGTGTATGTGTGTGTGCGTGTCTGTGTGTGTGCGTGTGTGTGTGTGCGTGTGTGTGTGTGTGTGTGTCCCCGCCTGACTCTGGGCCAGCAGGTGGCAGGGTTGGGGGCCGCTCGGGGATCCCCTTCAGGGCCGCTCTCCTGCCGTCCTCGGTCCCCCCCCCCCAGCCCAACGCTGCTTGCCCACCCCCGCTCCTCCTCCTCCTCCTCCTCCTCCTCCTCGCCCCAAGCGGCAATCGACGGAAGGCCTGGCAGAGCATCGCCCCGACGGGTGATCGGCAGGACCGTCTTGCTCGCCACGCCCCCAGAAGCGACAGCAGGAGCAAATGGGGCACACACAGAGGTGGACCCGGCTGCGACGCCATGCGCCGCTCTGACCATCACTCGGACGTCCGTTCCCTGTGCAGTGTTTGGTTTCGCGCGTGCTTTCATTGCCAGATGATCTAGGATGCTCCTCGACTGTCCTCACAGAGGGAACACACAAAAAAAACACGTCCGAGCGATGCCAACTGCTGCCCATCCCAGGAAAAAAAACTGGAGCCCCCCCACCCCCTCCGTTGCCCGCCGCCCGACCCTTCTGCGCGCCTCCCTGAGGGCTCCAGGCTCGATCGGGCAGTCGTCCTTCGAGGTCCCCGCCGCCGCCGCGTCCTTTGGCAGGCCCAAAATGGGTACGGAGAAGCTCGGTACGATGCCCAGCAGCAAATGTTGTTGTCCGAATCGACTGCTGCCGCTGTTGGGCAGGCGACGCTCTGCCCCGAATGGACAACGTCCGCGGCGACACCGGCGGCGATTCCTGTGCCGAATGGACCAGGACTGCTGTCGGTCTTTGTACCCAGCCTTTCCGCATGGCAGGTTCGTGTCGTGCCGACCCCGGCGTTGGTTCCTGACACCGCGGGGATCGTTCAACCTTGAAGGATCGGCCGTTTCCGAAACGTCAGATCGTTCAACATTGCCCGATTCTGGGTCGCCGGCGGCGCTCAACGTTGAACGCCGGACGCGGGGTCGCCGCCAGTCGAGACGACAAGAGCCCACCGTACCCATTTGGATCGCACCGAGTCCTCGGCTGGATCGTCCTCGGGCCGCGGCCCCGCCACCGCCGGCGCCCAGCCCACGAGCATCGGCGAGGGCGCCAGCACCTCTGCAGGTGCAGCAAGCGACCACAACCACATCGAGGACACACCCTGGGGAACGACCTGCGCACGCCAACAGTCACCGGAACACCGAGGCCAGCTGAGTGCTGGTTGCGGTAGATGTGGCGTCCCAGGACTGCCAAACGCACCACACGTACAGCAAAAGTGCTCATGCCGAGGTTGGTGGGTCCTTGCCCGAGGTTGGAGGCGGCCGGGAGGTCTGAACTGGTTGGGACCCAAGAATCTACCAGAAAGGGGTGGGGGTGGGGGCCGAGGCGAAATCCGCACAAAATCGGGTCCAGGCCATCTGGCGCAATTCTTTGCCCCATGTCTGTTTCTGACAGCCCCAGGGCCCCAAAAGCCTCCAACGGCCGAAAAGGGCAACAAACCTTCCTGAGCCCCGAACCTCCTCCTCCTCCTCCTCCTCCTCCTCCTCCTCCTTCTCCTCCTCCTCCTCCTCCTCCTCCTCCTCCTCTCGAACCTGGACGGCTCCACCCCCGAGGGCCCCTTCGGAAAAACTCACTTCGTTGTGGTTGCAGTTCTTTGTTGTGGCCAGAACCTCTCGGCCGGGAGCGCCTGCGGCTCCGGCGGAAGCGCCTGGCGCCGCGCCGCGGCCCTCGCCGTGGCCCACGCCGCCGCCGCTGCGGCTGCCGCTGCTGCTGCGGCGGCCGCTGCCGCTGCTGCCGCCGCTGTTCGAATCAGAAAAATCTGCATAGGCATAGACTGTTGGAGCTCCGTGCGGCTTTCTTGGATCGGCGCTGGGGACCCCCTGGCGGCGCCTCTGGCGCCGCGCCTGGCGGAGCGCGCCGGGGAGCGGGTCCAGCGCCGATCCAAGAAACCCGCGCGGAGCGCAAAAGTGTATGCTTATGAAGTGTTTCTGATTTGAGCTGTCGCTGCTGGAGTCACCTTGGCGGCGCGCGCAATGGAGAAGGGGAAGGGGGGAAGGCTTCTTACAAGGAGGCTGCTTCTTCGAAGGCGCCGGCCTTACATCTATAGGTAAGGCCCACGCATTCTGGGAGGCAGCCTCCGTCTAAGAAGCATTCCCCGCTCCCCTACCCCCCTCAGCGCTTGGCCGATCGCAAACGGGGCGCCAAAGACCGAGGCGCACTGGATATGGGATATGAATAGAAATCGAGCCTGTAGGGGAAGATTCTTATCCATATCCAGTGCGCCTCAGATTTCTGAGGAAGGGAGCCCGAAAAGGGTATGGACATGAACAGTGCCCGCACTTCGAGCAGGGACCAATCGTCCCGGCATTCCTCTAGGCCTATCGCGACATGTTCTTAGATTCCAGATCTGTTCTAAGAACAAAGCAGCGTTCTTAGAACATAAGCCCGACGTTTTAGAACAAATAATCTCAGCCGGAGATGGTCTCAGAATATTTCGCGCAGGCAGCGAAAGGTTCTTGGAACACTGTTTGGTGGGCCTGTGGGCAAGCCAGGGCGCTTCGCCACTGCTCGAGCACTGGGGTCGCCGAAGCTGCCCGCGGGCTGCTGCGGCGCCGGCAGCGCCTCCGCCACGGGGAGCAGCGGCGCGGCCACCAGGGGCGGAGGCTCCGGGCGCCGCGGCACGCCCGGCGCGGCCGACGCCGCCCTCGCGGCGCCCAGGCTGCCAGACTGGCCGCCGAGGGAGGGTATCACCAGAGAGATGCGGTTCACCGCGCTGTCCTTCACGAGCAGCAAACATACTTGTTGTTCCTAACCATCCTGTGGTGTTGGGTCCTCGTTTTGAAGAGACTGTCCCCGCGTCTCGTTCCTTCCTCCTCTCCTCCTCCCTCCTCCCTCCTCCTCCCTCCTCCTATCCCTGCCTCTTCCCAGGCTGCCAGGACGGCCACCGAAGGAGGGTATTACCTAGCCAGCCTCGAACTGATCCTTACCCTCAAGATCGGCAAGCCCAAGGCGATGACAGTTTCAGGGATGTGCCCTCAGACATGGCAAGACTCCTTCTGATCGGCACTGAGGTGAGGCGATGCCAATCATAGGTTGCAACCGCGCTGGCTCGGAGACAGCTGACTTCCAGGAAAACCCACAAATTATTTCGAATAAACCAAAAAGTAGGTTCTTCATAAAATTTATAAAATTGAGTGTTTGGTTTATATTAGCGGCCCCTGGATGGCTTTGACGTCACGTGTCTTGATCACCCATGTAAGGCAGATTGTCTACACTCCCACACTCGCATCTCTGCGCTCCTACCCCCGCCCAGGCTAACACAAAACCTACCATTACTATCAGCTCTGAAATAATACATGTGTCTCTTCCTCCCATTCCCCGTCAGCTCTCCTGGGCAGCGTTGCTGAATGAGCTGGAGGGGATACACGCAGCTTGAAGAATTATCCGTATCCGCGCCCTCGCGAATTGAATTCTGGGGCGCGACCCCGCGGACACGCGGTCGCACGGATACGTTCCGCCCGGGGCATCTGCGACAAAGCGCCCCGTGTCCGCGAGGTCGCGGCTCAGGGGCACGGTCCGCGAGGCCGCGGATACGGGCATGCCCTTCGGCCCTTCGCCCACGGGTCCTCTCCAGGCCCCCCAGAGGCCCAGGGGGCCTGCCCGCGCGTGGGGCTGCACGGGGCGGCGGCCACGTGGTCCTGGACCTGGGCCTCTGCAGGACCTGCAGCGGCACCCCCGGGCGCGCCGCGTCGTGGCTGGCCCCGGGCGCGCGGGCTCTCGACCGCCGCCTCGGCGCCGAGCGGCCGCGCGGCGCCACTCCCTGCGCGCGCCCCGCCGCCGCCCGGACCTCTCGCGCCTTCCGTGCCGAGGGGCGCCGGGTCGGCGGGGGGCCGCCCCGCGTCCCGGCCACCCGGGGGGCCCCGCTGGCTGCCCCGCGCGCTGCCGGCGCCCGGCGTGGAGCTCCTGTGCAGCAGGCGCACGGGAAGCTCCTCCGTGTCGAGGGGGCAGCGGGACGAGGACGCGGAGGGGCAGGGCACCCTGCCGTGGACCTGCAGCTGCCACGGGTCGCTGAAGAGCTGCTTCTCCTGCCCGGGGCGCCTGCCGTCGGGGCTCCTGGGCGGGAGTGGACAGAGCCCCCTCCGGCAAAACGCCCTGCAAGTGAGAAACGACCTGGGGCCATGACCCGGCGGGCGCGGGCCCGCACAAACTGCGGCGGCCGCAGCGCCCCCCTCGAGAAGCAAAACAAGACGGCGGCAGCTCGCCGCTGGGCGCGCCCAGACCCCCGACGCCACGATGCTTCCACAGCGTCGACCCCCAACAAGCACAACCCATTCTGCGGGACCGGCTCTTCATCCAGAATCGTTGTTTGACGGTCCCGGGGCCCGGTAAGGGCCGCGGGAGGCCGAAAATCAGCCACCGTGCCGCTGGGCACGGAGTGGGCGTGTTCTCAGGTCCTCTGCCTCATCCTCTCAGCCTCAGTCCTCAAACCTGATGAATCTTTCAAAAAGGCCCGGAGCCTAACTTGCCAAATCTCCCGGGGCTTGCCGCGGCTTCTCCCGTGCGCGTCTCGGGCCCAGGAGGGCCCCAAGACGAGCCAAGAGGGCCTGTCTTAAGAGGCTCTCATGACGGCCCAAGAGGGCCCCGAGACGCCCAAAGATCGCCCCAAGACGCCCAAGACGGCCCCAAGGCAGCCCAAGAAGCTTACAAAACGCCTCAAGAGATCCCCTAGGAGCCTTCCCACGAGGGCCCTGAGAGGCCAAAATCATTGATTTACATACCTGAAGTCTTTGAACGCCTTCAGCCTTCTCGCCTTCTCGGCTTCCCGACGCTCACGACCCAGAAGCCCCCAGGACCGCCCCAAGACGGCCCAGGAGGCCCCCAGGAAAGCCACAATACAGCCCAAGAGGGCCCCAAGACGGCCCCAGAGGCGCCCAAGATGGCCCAAGAGGGCCCACAAACAGCCCCGAGAAGGGCCCAAGAGGGGGACCACGAACCGAAAATCAGAGTCTTCGCTCCATGAGGCCCCCAGGAGGCCCCAAGGAGGCCCCAAGAGGCCGAGGATTCCAAGAGACCCCCAGGAGGCCCCGAAGACGCCCCAAGAAGACCCAAAACGGCCCCTGAGAAGCCTCCAAAGGGCCCCCTACGGGAGCTCGAGAGGCCTCCCGCAACATCCCAACGAACATCCTAGAAGCCTGTGGCCCACAATCCAGGTACGGTGGTGGAATGAGCCGAAGGCAACACGATCTGCCGCCACCTGCTGGCTTGCCACAGAGATGCCCTGCCTGCTGGACGTTCTGAAAGGCTTTCGCTTGTTTGAGCACTCCCCCCTGGGCCTTCGGCACAGCGCCCCGGCTGCCTGTCTCGTCGGCTGTTTCGCTTCAGATGGCTTGAAGCTGGCCCCCAAGGTGGTCAAGATGCCTCCAAGATGGCCGAGATGGCCTCAAGAGAGCCCAAGATGGCCCAAGATTGCCTCCAAGATGGCCCCAAGGTGCCTCCGAGACCGCGCAGATGGTCCCAAAGAGCCCAAGACGGCCGAATAAGACCCCAAGAGGTGCCTAAGACAGCCCAAGAGGCCTCCAAGAGGGCCTCCAAGAAGGGCCGACGAGGCAAAAACCATTGATTGTCCCAAGGGTTTGAATGTTCCGTGCTTTTTGCATGTGTTCGGTTCTCCGAGGGCCCGAGACGGCCCGAGAGGCCCGCAAGACCGCCCCAGATCGCCCAAGAGGCCTGCGAGATGGCCCCACAACGGGCCAAGAGGCCCCCAAGACGGCCCGAAGGGGGCCCCAGGACGGCCCAAGAGGCCTCCAAGACGCTGCGACGCTGAATATGGCCTCCAAGACGGCCCTGAAGCACGTCCCACGTCGTCAGACAGGCCAGGAACGCCGTGAGACAGCCAACGAAGCTCCCAAGAAGCACCCAGAGGCCCCCAAGAGGCCCAGTGAGGCCCCCAAGCACCTCCAAAAGGCACCCAGGGAGCTCCCAAGAGGCGCCCCAAGACCAAGAGTGGCCTCAGAGGCTCCCAAGACGCCTCCTCCTGTTTCTCATCTTTTTCTCCTGCTTCTTGCCTCTCCTCCTCCTCCTCCTCCTCCTCCTCCTCCTCCTCCTCCTCCTCCTCCTCCTTCTCCTCCTCCTCCTCCTCCTCCTTCTCCCCCTCCTCCTTCTTCCCCTTCTCCTCCTCCTCCTCCTCCTCCTCCTCCTCCTCCTCCTCCTCTCCTCCTCCCCTCTCTTGATTTCTCCTCCTCCTCCTCCTCCTCCTCCTCCTCCTCCTCCTCCTCCTCCTCTTCCTACTCCTCCGTTTTCTCCTCCTCCTCTCCTCCTCCTCCTCCTCCTCCTCCTCCTCTCTTCCTCCTCCTCCTCCTTCCCATCCTCCTCCTCCTCCTCCTCCTCCTCCTCCTCCTCCTCGATCTTCCTCCTCCTCCTCCTCTCCTCCTCCTCCTCCTCCCTCCTCCTCCTCCTTATCCTCCCCTCCTCCTCCTCCTCCTCCTCCTCCTCCTCCTCCTCCTCCTCCTCCTCCTCCTCTCTCCTCGATTCCCCTCCTCCTCCTCCTCCTCCTCCTCCTCCTCCTCCTCCTCCTCCTCCTCCTCCTCCTCCTCTTCCTCCCTCACGTGTTACAGTTCCCCGAAAACCTTCCACAACGGCTGGGGGAACGAATGGTCCAATGGCGCGGCCAAAAGTTGATCAAACGTTTGGCCTCGTAGGCGCATCCTGGAAGGAGGGGGGCGGCGGTGATTCGCGCATGCGTCGTCGACAGCGAGAAACTTCCCGTCGCGATTTGTTCGTGACTCGAGGGGGTCTGGGTATGTCTTGGCGGCGCGCACAGAGAGGTGAGCAGAGGGGGGACGGCATGTTAGCAGGAGGCTGCTCCTTCGACGGCGCGGGCCTTGTCTGCAGATGTAGGGCCGCGGCCTCCTCCAAAAAAGCCTCTCCCCCTCCCCCATTATCCCCCTCTGTGCGCGCCGCCACATGAGCGACGACACGGGAAGTGGTCATACGCGAGATGACGTAGCGACCTCACGCGGTGGCTTACGCGGGCCACCAGCGCGGCACGCCACAATGGAGACGAGGGCGCTTACGCGGGACCTTACGCGGGCAGCTTACGCGTCAATGTCGGCGCAGACCCAGACCCCCCGACGTCGTAAATATTTCACGACGTCGACCCCCATAGAGGCCTGGACCCCTTCCCCGGCACCGGCTTCTCATCCCGAGCATTTCTTTGACGGCCCGATGAGGCCCCCCAGAGGCCGAACATCGCGAAAAAACTCCTGTCTTGATTTTCTCACAACGCGAGGCGGGTCTGGGGACGACCTCGTTCTTTTTTGGCGTCGCCCACATGTCAATCTCCGACGTCCTGGGCGGGCAGGGCGACGCGCCCCGCGCGGGCGAGCGCGCGGCAGCCGGCGAGGGCACCGGGCACGGCCGCCTCGGCGGCACCGCCGTGCGCTGCCGGCGCTCCTCCGGCGCCGCAGGGGCGGGCCCGGCCGGCAGCGCCGGCGCGCCCCGTTCGGGGCTCGGCGCAGCGCGGGCGCCGCGCTCCCCGCGGGGGCTCTTGGGCCCCTCGCGCGCTGGGCGGCCCGCGGCCATGATCGTCGGCAGCCGGGGGCCCTTCGCGGCCGCCGCCGCGGCGGGAGGCAGGGCCCCTCGCAGCGCGAGGAGGGCGTGCTTCTCGGCGGCGAGCAGGCTGCCGGCCAGCGCCCACAGCGTGGCCACGAGCACCACGGCCTCGCCGGGCTCGGCATGCCCCCCAGGCGCGAGCGCGGTGTGCACCGCCAGCCGCAGGCAGCAGCCGCTCAGCAGCACCAGGTGCGGGGCGCGGCGGGCCGCCGCGGGCCACCTGGGCGAGGAGGGCCTGGCGTGGCGCAGCCACAGCAGCCCCGCGGCGGCCACGAGCAGCGCCACGGAGGCCGCCGGCGGCCAGCCCTCGTCCTCGCAGGGCCCAGCCCCGCCCAGCGCGCCCTCCTGCGGCGCCCGAGCCTCGCACAGGCAGCCCCCGGCGAGTTCCGAGGCGCAGGCCACCGCCCAGCTGCCGATCGCGCACAGCGCCTCGCACTCCTGGAGCAGCCAAGGCCTGCGGGACGAATGGGGAGCAGGGATCAAGACCGTAACGAGGAGGAGTAGGCGGAGACGGAGACGGAGGCGGAGGCAGAGGAGGAGGAGGAGGAGGAGGAGGAGGAGGAGGAGGAGGAGGAGGAAAAAGAGGAGGAGGAGGAGGAGGCGGAGACGGAGACGGAGGCGGAGGCAGAGGAGGAGGAGGAGGAGGAGGAGGGTCTGGCCCGAAGGAGGCCACAGCTGGGCCTATTTTCGGCGGGTCGGACCTCTGGCGCATGCGTCTGCACACCGCGCATCCAAGTCTACATTGCCCGTTTGCGTGAGCCCGCCTGCCATCGCAGGCAGCGAGCAGCGAGCAGCGCGGCGCGCGCCCTCCTCTCCCTCGTCAGGGCGAGGCCTCATCTTGCTCCGCACCAGTCCGCACAACGAAGTCCTGTGTCTCCGCTGGCGGGCCGTGGGTCGAGGGCGTGCCGCGGGGAGCGCCTCGCCCGCGGCACCTGGGACGGCACCTGCGGCCGTTGTGTGCGTGGCCACCCGAACTAGCTTTGCGGCCGGAGCCACGACAGCCGCTTGCAACCCGGAGATCGCCCTGGGCCAAGTCCATTCCCGAATGTGGACGCTGCGATTGGGCGGCACCGCCGCCAGCAGCAGGATCGACGTACAGGAGGGCGAGATCAGAGCCGCGCTCCGAGTCGCGGACACAGTCGTGCCCGTTCTCAGGAGGCCGGCGCCATGAAAAAGGTAAAAGAGTTCTTGGCGAGAGTTGTCCCCATGGGCAGGACGGAGGCGACCAGCAACGACGGCTTGCAGGAACACCCCATAGACGAGGAGGCCCTCAAGAAATACTGCGAGCAGGCGCGGAACCGGATTTACGCGCTGTGACGCCTGGCGCTTTCGTCGGGGGCAGCGGGGGAGTTGCAGGAAGTAACGCGACTGGAGGTGAAGATCAGCGTCATCAAGGCAGCGTTGGGCATGACACTGCCAGCAGCAGCGCTGATCACGGACATGCGCACCAAGAAGGAGAAGTGTATCGAGAGGCTCCGCAACACCAGAGTCAGGATCGCCAACTTACACGAGCAAGAGCAAGAGACCTCGGCAGAGCTGGATCAGATCAAGACACTCATCGCGCAACTTGAGGACCAGTGGACACCGAGGACGGGCCGAAGTCGATGGACCAGCAACGGTGACGCCATACATGTCAAAACAGTCACCCGATATGGCACCAGACATGGGCATGAGCGACGTCCGCCACGCCATGCTCTGTCATGCAGAAGATCGGTCAGATGGACGAGGTGCTCAAGGCTGTGTTGATGCACATGCCGGGACCAGCGACCTACTGTCCATGGAGGCCTCCGCCAGCCAGCTACTCCGTTACTGTTCCCGACCCCGTTGCCCATGCAGGCCCAGGTGATGCAGTCTCAGATGCACGGGCACGGCGTGACAGCGCAGGCTGCTCAGGCTAGACTTTGGAGACGGCGGCGGCGCTGGCAGTGGGACCCGAGTCCCCAATCCCGACCAAGCAGCTGGAGCCACGAACTCTGACCCCAATGGCAAGTCCGCCGACACCGACGGACCCAGCGGAGGCGAGACACATGTGATGCTGACAGACACCGATGCTCACAATCCCTGTGCTGCTGCCTGACACGACAACGGGAGCCAACCTCGCCTACAGTCATGCAGTTGCAAAACATAACGCTAAATCCGCCGACCCTATCGGCGTGTGTGAGGGGCTTGTCTGTTTGAGTCGTCGTCTCTGTCAGTCGTTGTCTCCGTCGCCCCCTTTCCCTGCACCCTCTTCCTCAAGCTCGTCAGCGAGAGAAAAATCTAGCATTGTCGCAATGAGTCGAAGGAGAACCGCTTCCCTTTGATCCCTCCCCAGTCGGGGGGGGGGTAGGGGGGGTCCTGGTGGGTAGTGGGGGGGGGTCAGATACGCATCCCCCCCTGGGGGTCCTGGGGCCTCAGAAAATACCAAGACAGCGCCCCAAGAGGACTCCCGAGAGGGCCCCGAGAGGCCAAGTTCATTGAGTCTCCGCTGGTTGTGTACTGGAATGAGCGTTCTCGCCTTTTTCACGTCCCGCCGCTCCAACACGGCGCAGGAGGCCCCAAAGATCGCCCCAAGACGGCCCATGAGGCCTCCAAGAAGGCCCCGAAACAGCCCACGAGGACCCCAAGACAGCCCCAAACGCCTCCAAGACGGCCCAAGAGGTCCGTATTTCAGCGTCTTGACTGTACCGAGCCGATGCCGAAGCCGACGATAACCCAGAAGGATTCCTTGCTCCCTGGGCCGCCTGGCGTCGATGGAGCGGCCAAGGCGGAGCCGCCGCCGACGGGCGAGTCTTCGCCTGACGGTTAACGAGGGGTATAGCGACCCCGATCCAAACCTTGGCAGGATTTTCGTGGAAGGTCGGGGGTTGGGAGCGAGAACTCGCCTGCGAAAAAAACAAAAAACACCTGATCCCTGAGCACGTGCCGCTGCTCGGCCCAGCGTGCGCTCTGGGGAAGGAGCCAGCCGCCTCGCATGGCAATAATGTATTGAACATCCTCAAGCCTTTATGTGGCACTTATCTGCGGCGGCCCCGTGGGCCGCCTCTTCCTCGGGACCCAGGGAGATCGGGCCCGAGGAGCCACTGGAGACTGTTTCTGGCACGCGTTCCGATAGGTGATATGTACTCAGGGCGAGTCGCGCCCGACGGTAGGCGAGGCATTCTAATCGGCACTAGTCCCAGCAAGCCAAACCCTGCAGAATTCTCTAAAGTGTGGGGTGTCCACCGCGACTGTTTAGCTGGGGACGGGTGTGCGGGAGCGGGAGGCGGAACCTCTATGACCCAGACGTCACCGCTTGCTGTTTCGGATGGTTGCAAGGGTGATGGTGGTAGACCAGGTCGGACCGCGAACCAGGTCTCATCCTCCTCCGCCTGACGTGATCCCGTTTGCGGCCCACATGGGCCAACTTGTTTTCTGGATCCTAGGGCCTTGGATCCGCGGCCTCGGATTTGGCCGCCTTACGTTCCTCTGTAGGTTTACGGTTCGGGATCGCATACCTGGATGATCCGCCCCGGGGCTGCCCTAACGACACCGCTTCTGCGTTTGCCCCCAGCGGCCCAAGCTCAGCAACCAGGTTCGGGTGCAGCGGGCGAGGCTGCCGCCTGGGTGAGCAGTGGGATCGGAACGGTCACTCGGCGGCACCCGGACTTGGCAGGCGAGAGAGCGTATCTGCTGAACCGCGCCCGGCCGAGACCCCGCGCCCAGCAAACCGAACCCATCAGCTTCGCGTCAAGTGGGGAAGGCCACAGCGGGGTCAGCGGGGGGGGCGGGCCAGGGCGGGCGAGATGGGGGGAGCACCTGGCATCCAACTCACGTGCGCAGCGGCCACCGCGCCCGAGCGTCGGCCCCGAGCAGCCCGCTCCGCGCAAGGAAGCAGAGGCGGCCACTCTGTCTGCAGCCTGGCCACCGAGGTCGAAGTTCTCCACCGGCCGCCTGCGCACCGCTCGCCGCCCTTGCTCGGCAGAGGCCTTGCCGTCGCCAGAGGCTGGCGTCCGTGGACGGGGAGGGGCGCGACGACAGCACAGCCGCCAGATCCCACGCCTGGAGGTGTCCCCATGTGCTCCGGGGCCCCCTCGCCCAGGCATGCGCGACCTTGGGCAGCATCCCTCGAGCTAACCACAATCGCTTCAACGTCCGCAGAGCGCCCTGAGGCCGAGAAGGGAGGAGGAGGAAGAGGAGGAGGAGGAGGAGGAGGAGGAGCTTTCTTGCTTGCTTGCCTGCCTGCTTGCTTGCTTGCTTGCTTGCTTGCTTGCTTGCTTGCGTGCGTGCGTGCGTGCGTGCGAGCGTGCGTGCGTGCGTGCGTGCGTGCGTGCGTGCGTGCGTGCGTGCTTGCGTGCTTGCTCTCGGCTGTGGGACGACAAATCGAATGACTACCACTACCGCTCACGCTCACTGCAAAGGTGCTGACATGTACAAGCTACGCTCGCAGCACAGATCCTAAAGACCGAACGGGCCGAGGGGGGCCGAGCGAAGCGGGACCGAACAGCGAGAGGCCGATCCAAGGCCGAGGGCCACGAACGGCAGAGGCGAAGGGGAGGCGAAGAAGCGGGGAGTCGAACGGCTGCTGGCCGCGTCCGCCGTCCGCATCCCGGGTACCGCTCACGGTCTGGTGCCTTCCGCACCGCCAGGCGCAGAGGGAGTGGCCAGCGTCGCTCCGCTCCGCGGTGCGGGAGGCTCGGAGAGGCACGGGACGTGGACGCCCGGGGACTGGGACGTGGACGGCGCGCCGCGCCGAAGCGTGGTGGGCCAGAGCCGGCGATGCGACAGGCTACCCGACAGTTTCCGACCGCAGGCGGCGACATCCGAGCCCGACCCCCACCAACCATCGGCACTCCTGGAGCGATGGGAGGCGGGGGTTGGGGTTCGGATTTCGCCGCGTGTTCGACGGGTTCCGAACCCTGCCCCCGCCGCTCATCGAGTTGCCCGAGTCGTGGATCGGCGAGGGGAAGGCTCGCAGCCAAGAGAGACTGCCCAGGCAGGGCGCGGGCAGAGAAACGTGAGGTGCGTAGGACACGGGTGTCGGAGAATCGTGAACTCTGACAGTCAACGCGCCTAGTGAGGACGCGCGCCTTCATGTAAGATGTCCTTGTGTCGTCCTTCGCCGTTTTCACTGGTCGCCCGGCGCCTAAAAGACTCCAACTTCAGACTCCAATGTTCCTGCGTCCTTAGAACCTATTCTTAATACACGTGTTGACTGTTCTCGCCGCGACATCGACCGCTCCCAGATGGGACCCAGACAGAAAGCCGTTCGGAACGGATCCCTTCTTCAGGAGTCCCCCCATCACTTCCTCGACGAAGGGACAGAGCAAAGAGGGGGGGCTGGCTCGGGGGGGAAGGAGAAAAATCGACCTGGAATCGGCGATACATCGCCCATGGATCGGCGAGAGGCCGCAATAGCGGCTCCGCACCCCTCCTGGGCGGGGTGGGCGATCGTCGGGGTGACCCGAAAAGGGGTCCAACTGAAAGGGGGTGGTG